TATCTGAAAAACAATGGAAATGATTTCTGTCATCTCAAGTTTTTAATTCATTTCTCAAGGGTAGAAGGAAATACCTTGACAGATTTAGCACTCAAATTCAAATGACTGTGTGAACAGGTGGCAAAATTTCTTCTCCACCTGCCATGCAACTTTATCTCAAGAAATGTTTCATTTAGCAAATGCTGCTGCTAGCAGACAGTTCTCTGTTTCAGAGCAGAAAAACAAATGGAGGGGGAGTACTTCTTTGAAGAAAACCTTTTTCTTGATTTTCTTTTTAAATTGTGAGTGTGAGAAATATGTTTTCTATTTTCTTGGGGTATGGGTGGTGGAAAGCATGAGTGAGTTCCTTGATTAACCCACCTGTTTTGTAGTATTGTTAAACCATTCCTGGCTTTATTTGTTTTGTTTGTTGCTGTTGCTCTTTTTGTATACCAAAGCACTGATAGTAACTTTCAGGTGTGATAATTATATTAACCTGGGAGCTTAAAATATTTGTATAATAATTTTAGATACTAACTCAGGAGACCCTATTCTTTTGTTACAGTGAAATCGTGTTATTAGAAGACATTGTTAGACTTAACCTCTGTAAGGAAATGGTGGCAAGCAAAAGGATGCACTGAGGAACCAATTGGTAACTAAATAGAAAAAAGATAAAGATGTTGTTCGTATACTTTTGCATTTTTACTTTTCTCTGATTCATTTATTTGGTGTGAGCTAGAAGCTAATGTGCCAACGCATGAGTTGGCATACACAGCCTCTACTAAGAAAAGTTATGTTTCCCTGTATTTTTGAAACTAATAATTTCAAGAAGCACTAAAATTTAGTTTCCCTGTCCTTCCCAATGAAATTTGACCTGACCTGCCTTTCTGTATAACATATATTGGTGTTAGTTCTGGATATAGTGGATTTGGGAAGATTTTGCTTGGGGCATTGGGAGATTATTTGGACTTGGACTCAAATGTAATTAAGAGGCACTCTTCCCTTCCTTATTTGACAAATTAATTTGCTATAGTAAATTATAAGAATGTATCATTCTTTATAGAATCACTAACAAATTAAACTTCTACATAACTATTCTTTGTAGAAAATATATTTGAAACAGATTGACAGAGCACTCTCACTGTGACCCACATGCCAGGACATGGATGCAGCATAAAATCCTTCAATGTCATGAAGTTTGCTATAAAAATAAAAAATTTTAAAAAAGATTTGTCCATTAGGTAATTTTAAAATTTTCTTTTCAAATATCCGTTTGGATGAACATTCCATGTAGACAGTAGTGGCTTAATATATGTCTGCACTAGAAATTTGAAAGAATGTCTTCTGCTCTGCTCTGATAATTTTATAGGTTTAAAGATAGCATCTTTGTTTTAATTTGCATATTCTAGAATACTGATGAAGTTGAACCATTTTTTTGTTAACCATTTGTACTTCATGTTTGCGAATTGTGTGCTCATATCATTTACATATATTTCTCTTGGGGTAATTGTTAAAATATGTAAATTCTGAGGCAAGATTACAATGTTGGCATCGTTTTCTTAACGAACGACAGTTGCTTAAAATGTTTTTCCCCTTCAAACAACAATGCAAAGAAATGCCATAGCCTGTGATTGCAGTTCTGGGGGTGCCTCTATGTGTAACCTAATGCTCTTCAAAAAAAGTTATTATTTTCTCTGAGTAAGCACAGTTGACTGATGCATGCACATTTTTGTGAAAGATTATTTTGTGCTCTGGGGTTGGTCATTCTTTGAAAATAGCATGTGTCCAATGGATAGGAGTGTCTGGCAGACATGTGCAGACTTTAATGTTGTTGGAAGAAAGAGAAATTTAATTTTTAGAAAGAAAATCGATGAACATAGTCTTTCCCCTGAATAATTTTGTAGTGTTGATGAAATGGGAGTATTGGGGCAGGATTCACTACATTCTAAACTTCATATTGATCCAAATAACAATTGTTTTAAGCAGAATCAATAAATCATTGTTTTTACATGAGCTTATATAAAATGAAAGCTTTGCTACATAATTGTCTTATAAACTTAAAAGCCATTATCTGCTTATTTACTGTAAACACTTGATCTTTCAATTGATGGATATGAGGACAGCACAGGTACTCTATTTGGTAGCCATGGGAGAATTAGTGGTAATTAATAACACTACTGTGTTTTTGTATTGCTAACATCACTACAGCCAGAGGACTGTGGAATTGTTTAAAACATGAAATTGATTGAGAAATATTTCATGAGGTACTCAGTCTCTCTATATCAAGGTTTCTCATCCTTAGCACTGTTGATATTTTTTCCTGAGAATATCTTTGATGTACAGAACTGTCCTGTGTGCTATAAAATGTTTAGTAGGATCCCAAGAGATGACAGTAATTGCGTGCCCCTCTCCCAGTTGCTAAATGAAAAACGCCTCAAGACATAGCTGAATGTATGTGTGGAAGGGCCAGCAAAATGCCTTTTACTCCTCCTTCCTTCATTGATAACCACTGGCCTGTATGTTGTTTCTAATCATATGAATTGAAATAAAAATAAGATTTTCTTTTTAAATGTTTTTTTTGTTTTGTTTTGGTTCATGGAATTACTCAGATAATCATTCCTTTAAGCATAGTCTGATATAATTGTGGCCTGAGGTTACAGAGAGGTGTTGCCTCTTTGCAATGTTGAGGAACAATGCTCTTCACATCTAGTCAATAAACTTAATGAAAAGGAGATGGAAGGGAATATTGAATCTGCTAAGAAGGTTGACATGTCATGTACTGTTACTGATGCAGAAATAATAGGGAGTGTTTTGAATGTTAAAAAGTCAAAAGATACTGACAAAAAGTCATAAAGAAGATGAATTTACTGAAGGCTTCTTCAGCTTTTGAAGTAATTAATTAGAAAGCCAGCTACATTATATTGCCAAGAAAGGGCTGCATTTTTACATTCTGCTTTTCAATTTTAAGAGCAAGAGACAAATGATAAGTAAACAAGTTGTTATCTATAGTTTATTCAGAAAAGCAATTTCTAGGATATGTCATGAGGGCAATGTTGTTTCAGCTTTACCCCATCCCTTTTACATCTGCAGTTTTATAAAAATGATAATTGATAGTCATTTAAGCACGGCATGATAAAGAAATGTCTTTGGAATGATCCACAGAAATGAGATTCTATATTCATTCAGAAGACATATATTAAGCTTCTCATGCCTGGCTCTGTGTAGAAAATACAGATCCTAATAAAAGAGTCTCCTTGAATATCCTATTAAAATAATTCCCAATGAATAGAAATCTTCTGATTAGAGATACTACTTACCATCAATCTATTTTTTTACTTTTCCAATTGATTCTGTAATTTTAAATGTCTGTCCACAAAAGCCATTGAGAAGTATCTGTGATGATATGTATAATATATATCATATATATAATTTAATTTTTAAAGCTATTTCTGAAACTCTGGTGGAAGGCTGTATCTGTTTTCTTTTATGCTTATTAAAATCTTATTTAAATTATTTTTTATTAAATATCTATGAATGTTGAATAAAGCATGTTTATATATTATTGATTCATTTTGGTTACACTATGGTTCTAATATCATTTAGAAAAATCAATATTACCCTTAAGACCAGGATTTTTTGCGAAATATTGCAGGATTTAAAACCATTTAGTTGGTAGTCAGAATTCAAACAGGATTTTATATAAAATATGCTATTATCTTAAAGCTTTTTTCCTGTTAAAATTGATTAACTCAGTTTATAGTACTTTAGAAAAAGTACTTTTTAGTCCAATCTGTAGTCCAATCAGAAAAGCAAATAATTCAAAAATTTAGGAAATTACAGATAAATAGGAAAAGGTGAAGCAGAGTTAAATCCATTCTCCTTTTCCCCTACTGTCAATTTTAGTAGTCTGTATTATGAATGCACAAGCCAGTTCAGAGCTATGGCCTCTGTACTCTTAAGACTGGTGATCCAGAAACAGTTTTAGCTATCTATAACCTAAGGAAACCTAAGGCCTCTACTAAAGAAAAATGAAAGGCCATTCCATGATGGTCAATTTTTACTGTAACCTAAGTGGAGCTGTTTAATTATCAAATATACAGTCACATTCTTTAGGCAACTAAGCGAACTGCTCACTACAGTTTCTCTAACCCTTTCTTATGGCCTATGAGAAAATTGTTGTTATAATTCATATGTAATTTATATTGTGTTATTTTATTTTTCATTTCTTTGACAAGATGGATATGCTACTAGACCATAAGCCAAATAGTCCCATACTGAGAGATACTGCTAGAAAAAGATGTTATTTCATGTGTAAAATTTTGTTCAGTTGGTGTTGATTAGAACTGTTAATACCAGAAAGGGAAGCCATATATTAATATAGTTAATCTTTGACTTATATTAATGGGGGCTTTGGAGTTAGAATCAGACTAAACCTAGATTCAAATCCTGACTTGATCATTTTAATAACATTGTAATCTTAGATTGGTTACTTTAACCCACTTTTGCTTGTTATCATTATCGTATAAAAAGGAGATAGTAACAATACCTATTCTATCAGATTATTTTAAGAAATTAAATGAGCTCATATTTCTAAAATTTTTGGCAAGGATCTGACATGTAGTGACTGTTGGTACCTATTAGTTTTAATTTTCTAAAATTTCTAAAATTAGATGTTTTAAATTAACCTTAACTGTAAATAATATAACTTCATGGCATTACTGTCTGGGCAGCAAAATATCAAAAGCAAATACTTTGGTAATAAAAAGTACATATGACTATGTTTCAAATGATCTTTTAAGTGACTTTTCAGTTCTTATCTATATTTTCTGCCCTTACAAAACATTTTATAAATATATATTTCTTATATGATACAGACTGATATGAGCCTTAAATACAGTGAAACAGACTTCAGCATATTCCATAGTAAGATCATTGGCAATAGTGACGTTTTTTCTAAGTAATTTCATTATTGTGAATTGTACACATTTTAATTTTTCTTTTCTGATTTAAAAACATTTCAGATCTCTTGTGGAAGAGGAAGACCAACACATGAAATTATCCCTTGGAAGCAGCGAAATGGGCCTCTCTTCCCATTTACAGTCTTCCAAGGCAGGAACCACTCGCATCTTTACCAGCAATACCCACAGTTCTGTGGTGTTACAGGTAATCTAAATTGCCCCTTTGGTAGTATTTACACATCTTTTAAACCAGGATTTGATGTTCAGTGTCAATAGTAGGGAATGTGGTGGGTGTGAAGGGACTGGGATGGAAGGTGTGTGGTAAATCTCTGTGTTTGCTCAGTTTTATTGTTATTTTTTTTTTATTGTTGGTTGTTCAAAACATTACATAGTTCTTGATATATCATATTTCACATTTTGATTCAAGTGGGTTATGAACTCCCATTTTACCCCGTATACAGCTTGCAGAATCACATCAGTTACACTTCCATTGATTTACATGTTGATATACTCCTGTCTGTTGTATTCTGCTGCCTTTCCTATCCTCTACTATCCCCCCCTCCCCTCCCCTCCCCTCCCCTCTTCTCTCTCTACCCCCTCTACTGTAATTCATTCCTCCCCCTTGTATTATTTTTCCCTTTCCTGTTAATATAAAACTGTACTAAAAAAAAGCTTATTACTTAGAAAACACAAATACCCATCAGGGAGGGAAGGGTGGTTGGTTTTTTTTTTTTTTTTTTTTTTTTGTACTGGGGATTGGAGCCATGTTACTCTACTGCTGAGCTCATCTAGCCATTTTTATTTATTTATTTTGATTTTAAGACAGGGTCTTTTTAGGGCCTTGCTAAGGCTCTAACTTGTGATCCTCCTGCTTCAGCTTCCTGAGTCATTGGGATTATAGGCATGTGCCATTGCACCTGACAACCAGGGGAGAAATCTTTTTTTGTGTGTGAAAAAAGGGAAAAAGAAACTTTATTGTTTTGCTAGCAAAGGAGAAACACAGGGAACTCCTGTCACAGAGGCTGTGATTCTGCCCATCAGGGGAACAGGGATCTTTTAAAAAGGTGATTCAAAGGCTACATTCCACAAGTTCTCTGTTGGAAGCTGTAATTCACTTGTTAATTTGGAAGATCTCCATATCTGAGATTTTCTGGAACCATCCCCAAAGTCTGAATTACTTTTGTCTTGTGGTGGGTGAGTGCTCAAGGATAGATAACTATGTCTAGGATGGGGAAGAAAGGTAATTCTGTTTTCCCTGAGATTAGGGAGCAGGAGAGATAGAGGAGGAGGAAGAGAAGATGAAGAAACATGTCCTTTATAAAATAAGTTGCAATGGCAGAGCAGTAGGCTATATTTAGAGCATAAAGTGGACCAGTGCTATAATTTCTACATTGCATTTCTATGGAAAAATGGGCAGAGACATCTCCAAACTACTTCCTGCTGGGAGAGGGCAAAGTTGAGGAGAAGTCACCGGAAGTCCTTGTTCTCTATCAGGTGGGGCATGGACAGTTAAGGGTATTTAGCATCAGGGAAGTCCAAAGATCCATGATGAAAGTTGGTGGGGTGACTGGACAAGGCATACATAGGGCAGGGATCATGCTAGGACAACAATAAACACAACAGAAAAACATCACTATTTTGTAAACAACTAGCATCAAAACAATTAGTATCTCAGCCAGCCTCTGAAAACCATGAAGATAGTAACTCATTAAAGCTTAAGATGGGGTCCAGCATGCCACTGGTTTGAACACAAACTCCAGCAATCTGCAGCTATTTAAGGCTTTAGAAACATTAGCCAAGTTGTTAGAGATATGGATAACATTTAGTTTTTGTTAATGACACGGGTGTCCCCCTGAGCTGTAGTTAAGATATGTAATTTCACCTGATTTTTATAAAATAGCTTTTTCATTAGCATTTACCTCTATGTTTAGTAGTGGGATCCCTTTAACTGTTTTTTAGAGCTCTCTTGGTAAAGTTAGTTAGGGCTTGTGTGTGCCACACTGCAACTTTTAGACCAGTTTGAGGGATAAATATCAGGGCTAGATAATCATACCAGTGAAATATAGTTTGAGAGTTTATCTATGTAGCAAATGAAGCAAATTCATAAGTTTATGAGATCAGGTTCAAATTCACTCAGGAAAAACTTGTGACTCTAAATTTCTTTGTTGTAACAATTACATGGGAGAAATCTTGATGGAGGAATGTATACTTTCTTGATTAAAAAATAATTCCCAGAATTCATTGTGTGTGTGTGTGTGTGTGTGTGTGTGTGTGTACATAAAGGACATCTTGCTACATATCACTTTCTTTTTTTATGGATTTATTTTCATGTGGTGCTGATGATTGAACCCAGAGCCTAACACGTGCTAGGCAAGCACTTTAACACTGAGCCACAACCCAGCCCACATATTACATTCTTGAAGAATATATTTGGCAACATTGACTCTCTATTACATAGCATTCTAAGTAAATATGACAAGGTCCCTACATTAAATTTTTTAGTTTCTCATTCATAACCTATTCTACTGACATCTTTGCCATAGTTCTAAAGATCATGTTTATTTGTTGTATAACTCCTATCAACAATAGTAGGTGTAGGAGTTGGAATGAAACCTGCTAGATGCAAACCCACTTAGAGATTTAAGAAGTAATAACTAACATGAAGACAGGGGATAGAAAACCAAAAGAACACAAACTCCAGCAATCTGCAGCTATTTAATGTAGTACTTCTGACCTTTGTAAACATTCACTGACTTCTATGAGCATCACTGAATTAAAGGACATTATAATACTGGATATCGATAAATGTATTTTAACTATAATTAAATTATATGTCTTCTCTGTTTATCAGATAAGGAAAATATATCTTTCTAAATTCACCTTTAAATGAAATTTCCCCATGTGGATTTCATGCACATCTGTATTTAAAAACTATTATAATAACAATTATAATAAACTATTATTATAAATATAATATATATTATAACGAGAGACAGTTTATACTTGCTGTGTTGCTTATACTTGTTGTGTTTAGTGCAATTTCTCTGGGCTTCATTTTTTTAGCTCCAAAATGTGGCTATTGCCTAGGACATTTCTACACTCCCTTCTAGTTCTGGTCTGGGAATCTATTGAAATCCTATTTTTCCAATATCCTAATTTCTTTTTTAATGGTACAAAAGAGTTGTAAAGAATAGTGAGGGGTTGGGGTTGTGGCTTAGCAGTAGAGTGCTTGCCTAGCATGTGCAAGGCCCTGGGTTTGATCCTCAGCACCACATAAAAATAAAATAAAGATATTGTGTCCATCTACAACTAAAAAAAAAAGAATAGTGAGTTTCATTGTGACATATTAGTACATGCATATAGCATAATTGGAATAGTTGTTGGTTTTTAAGGTTACAGGAAAGGAGAATAAGGGGCCAAGCAGATAGGAAAAACATAAAAGGAAGAAGTGTTTTGCTATACTAATGTGGTCTTGCTAAATAAAAATTTAAAAATAATAGAAAAATAACAAACAGCCTTAACTTACCACTATACTTATGCGCTATGCATGATCATAATCATGTGTTCAAGCTAATTATTTTGGTCCTGCTAAATTTAAAAATTTAAACCAAATAATGACAGCTACTGTTCTACAGTGAATTTTACAGCAGTTATTCTCAAATTTTAGTGTATCCCAGAATCACAAAGGATTTTTAAAAATACCCAGAGCTCAGCCCAGGAATTTGCATTTCTAGCAAATTCCTAGATATTAAATAAGTTTCAGGAAAGTTATAGTCTTCTTTCAGTAGCCACAGGGAATTGGTTCCGGGGATCCCTGCAGATACCTAAATACTTAAATACTCAGGTTCCTTACATAAAATGGTGCAGTATTTGCATATGGCCTAGACGTATTCTGTTGAATAACTTAAATGATTTCCAAATTACTTATTAAGCCTAATATAATGTAAGTGGTATATAAATAGTTGTTATACTGTATTGTTTGAGAAAAAAGTTTGCTCAGTACAGATAGAATCATTGCATGCTTAACCACATTTTTTTTCCTCTGAGGGTGGTTAAACTCATAGATGAGGAACCCACAGAGCACAGGGAGGATAGCCTGTACTCTTATTCTACTGTTCTAAAAACATGGACCTATTTCACCAACAGAGATAGCCTCTTCTTCCCACCCCCTACACACACACACACACACACACACACACAGACACACACACACACACACTCATATGTATTACAAATTATTGTTAAAAGGGAGAAACATTGGAAATAGATCAAATATCCATCAATAGGGGAACGATTATATGCATTATGTTGCACCAAACTATGCAATATTATGTAGTCACTAAAAAGAGTGAAATAGGTATGTAGGTATTAAATGGAAGAATATAAGACATTAAATGGAAAAAAAGTAGTGGGGGAAATGTGGTATATTTATTTATCTATGCAGTAGAATGTGATTCAGCTATATTTTAAAAGTGTAGCATGATGCATGCTTCATGGATGAATCTTGTAAAGAGCATGCTAAGTAAAAGAGTCTAGTCACAAAAGTCCACAATTTCTGTTTCCATTTGTATGAAATAATCAGAATAGAGAAATCTATAGAAATACAAAATAGACTAGTGTGTGCTTAGGGTTAGGGAAACTGGAAGGATTTGTGTATAATAACAGAAGGGTACAGGACTTCTTTTTGAGATTATAAAAATATTCTTTTTGAGATTATGAAAATATTCTAAAGTTTACTGTGGAAATGGTTGCATGTATCTCTAAATTCACAAAACCATTGATTTAGAACATTTATGTGGGTGAATTGTGTTTTATATGAGTTATATGTCAATAAAACTAATTGAAAAAGTAATAGGGCAATGTATATTAAATAATCCTGACTAGACACACACACATATATATGTGCACGCACACACACATACACACATACACGAATGTGAGCTCATAACAAAAGGTCTCCAAACATTTGGGAGAATAGTGAAAGATATTACTTTTTGCTGTGCACAACTGCACATTGTTTAATTTATTCACAATGGAAATATTTTTCTATATAATTTTAAAAATAGAATGATTGACCAAAGTGTAGCTGGATCTTATAGCACTTGACTCTGTCACGGTTTCTCTCATTGGTCCAGGCTGGTGGTAAAAATGGTGATATTAAAATGACCTCAAAGTTTATATTACTTGAAAATGATCTTTCTGCAA